TAAGTAAACCCATTATTGATCCTTTGGTGTGTGCCTACAGTACAACTACATTTTAAGGGCATGGGTGGAGGGCCCACAGACAGGTGGCCCAGTTCACACTGGGGTGCTTTGTAAACGGTTTGTCATAGAATATGCATATAGAGAGAATGGGGAGAACTTGGGGAAAAAACACGGGGAAAAAATAAACTATTCTTAAACCTATCACCCCAAATAAATCCTCACTGCTCCCACCTTTTTCTGTTTGTCTTAAACCCATTGCAAGTGAAATTGGGACAAAGACCTCTGTTGAGTCCCCATACTACACCTGCTGTCTCTTCCACCTTGGGCCAGTAATCCAACCTGAAAATTCCAGAAACGGTACCCAGTTCCCAGGGCAGGGCAGACCAGTCGCAGAAACGTCGGTGATTAACACAGCGTCTGGTGCAGAGTGAGGATTCAGTCGCTGGTAGCTTTGTTCAAGGAGAGAGCTGCCCTGCGCTTTGTGAGCCTCTCCCGTGTGGCTTTAAAAACATGACTTAACTTAGGATGCTCCTTCTCTCTTACCGACCTATTATCATTTATTCAGCCAGTCTCCTAACTAGACTGTGGGTACTTCAATCCCTAATAAAATGCTGCAATTTTCAATTCTATTTGCAGACAGCTTTATGTGTCTGTCACTGTCTCTGCCCTTCGGTGATTGGCCACGTCCGGGTAGCCCCGCCCAATCGGGAATACCCCCTGGCTCCCCGCCCGCCCTCTGTTCCCTACCTGCCAGGTCTCCATCGGAAATAAAACCACCAGCTATTATTTTTTTTCAAGGCTGAAGCCCTCGTGTTGACTCACTTGGCAAGTCGGCTCCAGCATGGGGGTAATTTGTAGCTTGAACAATTGAGACAAACACTTGGCGTGAGATGAGGAGAAGTAGGATGAGGCTGTAATTGGAATATTTTGTCTCATTTATTCTTGATAACGTGCCATCTTCCACTCCACCAGCCAGAGGTGATTGTTCGCAGAATGCCTTACACCTGTATCCGCGCTGATGGAAACCAGATGTGGTTCACTGCAAGATGCTATTTGAAAGCGAGGGCACAGCTTTAGCGCTCTGCCCAGCCCTCTCCCTTTCTCCTATTTTTCCTACATTGTTTTTGTCCTCTTGGGGTCTTCACGACATTTATCTGGGATCAAGCGATGCTGGCCCATTTTTGCCAGCATGGGTAATCTGCTCGGAATTCCTCCGAGTGGAGAACGTGCCAGCACTGATCCCCGCTGGAGCTCAAAGTTGGGGTCCAGGCCACTGCACCGGCCTGGTGCCCTCTCAGGAAGTGACCTGTTCGTGTCAGACCCTAAGCTTCTCTGGGTCTCTGCAGGTAACAAAGGAAGAAAGGAATCACGCTGGCTTCTCCACGGAGCTTTGTTCCAACGCAATGTGACAAGTGCGATATTTACAGACACCGACCCACCGAGAGCTTGCAAAACACACGTTCCAGCGTGAGGAGTTTCCAGGGGGCAGGTTTGGACAGCTGCGTTCAAAGGCTCCAGAGGGCCCAGCAGGAGCCAACGGGAAGCCTGGGTGGGCTGACATAGCTCTGCCTTCCAATGGAGGTGTGGGCGGGCCTGGCCCAATGCCACTCGGGTCTGCTCTGGGAAATCCCACAGCAGTGGAGTTGAGACAGATGCCCCTGTGCCACGGGGCCCAGAAATACAGTCAGCAAGCCCGCCCTCACCTGGGTCCGTACTGCCTGACCTAACAACAATGAATAGTCTTTGATCGCACAGGGACAGTTACTGAAATGTCATGTTGATGTTGTTTTTTGCAGTTACTGGGTTTGGAGAACGGGCTCCTTGGGTTCACTCTGGGAAAGTTTGAGCAGATCTCCCCTTTCAGCAGCACTGGGGAGTTTCTCCACTACATGGACGTTATTTACAGCCCAAAGGGCAGGTTTATTATAACAAGAGAGAAGAATAAAGGACACTTGCATAGACACAAGCCAGCAGGCAGGTGGCCTTGAGGAAAGTGGCCTCCACTGTGGGGGTCAGTGCAGAGAAGCTCTGGCAGGTCATGGGACCCAGTCACAGGCAGGCAGGAGGCTGCTGCCCTGTTAGGGAGCTAGCGAGTGGGTGGGAAGAAGCACCTGCACAGGCACAGGTGGGCAGGGAGACTGCAGGAGTCTTCTCTCTGGGAGAGGTGTCCTCCTCCTCCCGGGGTGGCTTGCTTGTCCTTGACTCTGAATAAGCCATGTAGAATCTGAAAGCGGCCAGATTCCCTCATGGCCCAGATCTCCCCATCTTCATCTTCCCACCTGCTCCTGACACCCCCTCAGCTCTAACACCTGCCTGGGCCTGGTGCTGTGAGAGCTGGGCCTTGGCCCAAGTACCTGAGCCTGGAGCTGGGCCTTAGGCTGTGCTAGTCCCTGCCCACCTGCAGCTCCCGCACCTGCAGGCCAGGCATCCCGTCTCTGGGTGCCTCTATCCTTATCCTCCCATGTCCGCGGGCAGATGAAGTTCCCAGGGGCTGTGAGCCCCACGCACAGCACAGCCCAGCAGCTGGGGAGACTCCTCAGGGCCCGGAGGCCCCAAACACTCCCTGGTCCTTTACAGAAAATGTTTGCCCATCCCTGGTCTAGATTTGGAAGCCAAACAACAGCGGCGGCCGCAAGGAAGCTGCTCAGGGCAGCTGGAACCGGGCAGATAAGCCGGGCCACGCAGGACCTGGAGCCCGAATATCAATAGTGACGCAGAAAATTAATGTTACAGTAAAACCCGAGATGAACTCTGATGAGGAAAATATTCTCCAAATTTTTATTCTTTCTACCGTCCACCTCCTGACCCCAATTTCTGACTTTGAATGGCCAGCTATTTGCATAATGGCTTTCCTTTGTTCTTTTTATTGCCGAGTGCTGATTGAGTTAGGGTGGCTAAAAAAAAAAAAAAAAAAGGTACCTTCTGGCTTTGGCCCTTTTATAGTCCCCAGTAAATAAGCTGAGCAGAGGTGGGGGAATTTCCAGAAGCGAGGCTTTTTTTTTTTTGGGTTTGTATTTGGTTCTGCTTTTCATAGTTCACCATTGGTCATTAAGGAGCAGATAGCATTTCAGTAGAGAATCTTTTTCAGGGAAAAGATGTTACTGTTCCGCTCAATCCTGCCTTCTCTAGACCTTCCTGCCTCTCCTCTAAGAGCACAGTTGTGTGGGGGGAGGAGTGGCGGGAAGCGGACATTCCACAGTCTTTAAAGACGCCTCACTGCAGGGCTTCCTGGGGTTTTCTGGCAGCAAGTTGACTCCTTTGATGAAGCTACACAGAAGCTGCCTCTACTCCAGGAGATGAGCCTCTAGGTTCCTTTATTTACCCCCTGGGCTTAGCCAACTTCCTCACATTCCAAAGGAAAGGAACACCCAGAAAAGCCACCCAGCTGCTGAGTCACCTGGTGATGGGTTTGTGGACTTTGAATAAGCAAGTCGAATCTGAAAGGGCCAGGTGACCTCCCAATGGGCTCCATCTCCATATCTTTACCTTCGGGTCTAGGCTCTAGACACCCCCACAGCTCCGACCCCTGCCTGGGGCCTGAATGAACTCCGCCCACTGCTGTTTTACCTACACCACCCCTACCTCCATGCCCAGGAGACCCCAGGTGCTGAGGACTACAACTCCCATCATGCCACGAATCTGCCAGGGCTCTCGACTTCCTGAAGGGGGTTGCTGGCAGCCATCTTGATATAAAACCCAACCCGTGTGGGCCTAGCTGTGCCGTTTTACCTGCCTCCAGCATGCACCTGGGATCCCAGCTCAGACACCTTTCTGGTAGGACGCATTAATCAGTTAGTTTCTCTCTCAATCTGTGCTCCCCACTGTTTTGTTTTTCCTTCTGGGAAAAAACAACAACAACTTTTATTAACCTTCCTGTGTGTGGCTGCTGTTCGCCTTGCTCTGTGTTTTTTAAGCGAGGGTGAGGACGCGCAGCCAGGCCATCCCACCGCCCTCTGGGGCTGCCCCGTCACACAGGGGAAGCAATTTGGTGTGTTTTAACGTAATTCTAAAGAGGAATTTGATTCGGTCATCAGTTTCACCCTGTAGTTTCTATAACTGTGTACTCTCTGTTCTAAGCCCCCGTCTCTGGTTACTACCCAAACTCTCCTTGGCTTTGCAGATCTGAGCTGCGTCTGCCTTTTCCTGCCCAGAGCTCGCAGCCCAGGCGCCTTGCTCGGGCCTGGGGAGTGACTGCATCTCCGAAGGAAGTCAGAGGCAAGAGGCCACTTATCTTGGAACACAGTCTTTCAAAGAGAGGTGACATATTCTAGCAAGGTGGAATCTTTGCACTTCCCGGTAATGGTCTCTGACACCTTGAACTGCAAAATGTTGCCGAAAAGTCGATTGCCTGTCTCCTTTCTCTCTCCCTCACCATCTCAACCTCTCTCTGTTCTAGGAACAAAGAAAAGTTTTCCTTTCTTTCTTTCTTTTTTTTTTTTTAAGGAGAGAGAGATCAAAAGGATTCTTAATTTTTTTATATGCCTGTTGAGGCCGGAACTCTGATGAAGGTAAGGGAGAGCGGGGTTGGGCCGGCAGGATAGGAGCGTGCCTGGGAGCACTGACATCAGATAAGATAGGAGTTCTCTGAGGAGGAAAAAGCCTGTCACCTCTAATTACATGCCCTGGCTCTCGCTGAATGCTGCTCCAGAAACGAAATACTTTGATGTGAAGAAATAACAACTTCACCTTTCCCCATTGTTTCCACCTCACGCCAACGTAGAAACAAAGGAAGGAAGGCATCACGTTTGAAGTCAAATCATTTTACCAGCCCTTTAAGAAATTATGTAAATAATGTGTCCTTCATTCCTCTTTTCCATAATTTATAACCAGAAAACTGTCATCCATCAGAGAGACCCGTATTAGTTTCCTGCTGCTGCTGTAACAAATGATCACAAACTGAGTGACTTCAGGAAATCTCTGATTATTTCTGAATCAGGAAAAATGTTGAGGTGATTTTTTTCCTCCTTGCTGTATTTTGTGTTTTCCACAGGATAAATAGGTCTTCCTTTTGGGAGCAAGGATACGTGCAAAGGAATAAGTAAAGAGGTGTGGTGACCACTTTCCAGAGCCATGCAGCTGAAGTCTGCCTCAGACCTGCTTGTGACCACAGGCTGCACGCACACCTCATGCCTTAGCCTCCAAGCCCCAAGAACGAGCAGGTGAGCAGAGGCCTTCTCTCCTCTCGGGGCCTGGCCAGGGGGGTCCTGGTGCTCCAGGTGTGGCCACTGCCTTCCAGCTGCTTTCAGACACCTATAAACAAGTTATCACAGGCGTCTGGGTGTGGACATCTCTCTCGTGCTCTAAGGGGAAAGTGCCAGGGACGGGGGAGAGGAGAAAAACTATTTGGAAAAACGAGCATTTAACCTTGAACCCATCTTTCACAATAAAGAATCAGAGAAGGAGAGGGAGACTTCCTTGCCAAGGTCCTAGGCTCATCCACCCCTTCCCACACCCTTCCCGCAGCTCACAGCCAATTAACTCCAGGATGAATAATCCCCAAAGGGCCACGACTAAGATTATTCCTCCAGACTTGGTTTGTTTTCAACCCTAAAGAGCATATGAATCCATTT